TAAAATGTAAAACTGGAACGAGATGTTCTGATTCTGGAACGGGCCGTTCCGGGGTCAAATTTTACTCCTAATGGATTGGACCAGAACGGGTCGTTCCGGACCCGAAACAGTTCGTTCTAGCCATATCTGATGTCTTTAAATAACAGGCTCAGACACTGCTCTTGTTGCTGGAAAAATTCGTCCAGAACTCCTATAGCTTGAAATTTCTTTTTCTCTCTCCTCCTGTATTTTTTGAGATTTTGTGAGAAACATTATAGTGTGAAAGGTAACCAAAAATACCTAAAAGTTTCCATACTTGATGATCTAATAAAGCTTGGACAAGAGGTATTTCAGTTAACACTTCTCTCTCCTTCTATTTTCTTATTTTTTAAATATTATTATAATAAGAACAACCATGTAAACATTTTAGGGTAAATCAAGTAATTTAAGTATAAACATGTAAATAATCATTCATAAAGGGGATCAAATATTTAAACTTTTAATTTTTGTCACGCTATCTTCATCATTGGTACCGATTTAGGGCATTGTAGGGGGTGCTCAATACCTTCCCTACATGTAACTGACTTTCGAACCTAATTTTGGTTATGAAGGCCATTATTGAATTTTCAAAAAACCTTTTCTTTTTCAAATGTTTTGAGTAAAACATTGATGACGACTCCTACGAACCATTTTTTTAAACTATTAATTAAGAATTAGTTTAGTTTCTGAGCATTCCTTAGTTAGTGAAATTTTCAATCGAAAGTCTAAACTATTTAGTCGTAAGATCGAAATTTTTTGGGTTATAACAATAAGTTGCTACTTTCTCATTCTACATAAACACTTCCCCTAACTCATCTCAGAGACATCACTAAACACTAAAACGGTTCACTAAGATAGGTAAAAATTAAGATAGGTACAAAGTTAACCTATTCTTTTTTTTTTCTTAAGAGGTCAACCTATTCTTAAATCCTTGGAAAGTACACCCTCCTCTAACTCCTTTCATAGAAGACGATTCTTCTTAATTAACTTAGTTAAAGATAAACAAGACTATCTATAATCCTCCTATATTAAGATAGTAATCAATTAACCCAAGAAAAACTCCTAATAAGACACTATTCTCACTTGACATGCTTCTAAATAATTAACATATATTAACAAAAAATATTTTTATTAAAAATTAATTTTGTAAATATATAATAAAAACATTTCATGTTTTTTAAAAGTAGTTGATCTAAACATATTTTCATCTCTCGCCCCCCCCTCTATATAATTCCTTTTGCATGCGTATAAATAACCCGTTCTTACTTTCATATTTTCTTTTTCTCGTCCCCTTATATTTTTCCGGTGATGTCTATGATAGAGAAGTTGGACAAGTGGTCCATGGGTGGTGCATCTAAAATCACCATAGATATAATATTAAAAACAATGAATGGTTGAGATTGTGACTTAGTGAGAAAATATATTGTACACCTTCACACACAGGATAAAATTTCTGAATTTTTTACTGAATTTTTTTTTAAATTACCTAAAAAAAACACGTATTACGATGATTATCGCAGCAGCTGTCACTTTCAGAACGGGCCATTCTGATGTTGGAACGGGCCGTTCCGTTACATTTGTCATGTGTTTTTTTGTCATCTGGAACGACCCGTTCTAGTCTAATATTTATGTGTTATTTGTTCATTTGGAACGGCCCGTTCTAATTTCAGAACGGCCCGTTCTGTTTTTATTATTGATGTGTCATTTTTGAATTCGGAGCGGGCCATTCTGATGTTGGAACGGGCCGTTCCGTTACATTTGTCATGTGTTTTTTTGTCATCTGGAACGACCCGTTCTAGTCTAATATTTATGTGTTATTTGTTCATTTGGAACGGCCCGTTCTAATTTCAGAACGGCCCGTTCTGTTTTTATTATTGATGTGTCATTTTTGAATTCGGAGCGGGCCATTCTGATGTTGGAACGGGCCGTTCCGTTACATTTGTCATGTGTTTTTTTGTCATCTGGAACGACCCGTTCTAGTCTAATATTTATGTGTTATTTGTTCATTTGGAACGGCCCGTTCTAATTTCAGAACGGCCCGTTCTGTTTTTATTATTGATGTGTCATTTTTGAATTCGGAGCGGGCCATTCTGATGTTGGAACGGGCCGTTCCGTTACATTTGTCATGTGTTTTTTTGTCATCTGGAACGACCCGTTCTAGTCTAATATTTATGTGTTATTTGTTCATTTGGAACGGCCCGTTCTAATTTCAGAACGGCCCGTTCTGTTTTTATTATTGATGTGTCATTTTTGAATTCGGAGCGGGCCATTCTGATGTTGGAACGGGCCGTTCCGTTACATTTGTCATGTGTTTTTTTGTCATCTGGAACGACCCGTTCTAGTCTAATATTTATGTGTTATTTGTTCATTTGGAACGGCCCGTTCTAATTTCAGAACGGCCCGTTCTGTTTTTATTATTGATGTGTCATTTTTGAATTCGGAGCGGGCCATTCTGATGTTGGAACGGGCCGTTCCGTTACATTTGTCATGTGTTTTTTTGTCATCTGGAACGACCCGTTCTAGTCTAATATTTATGTGTTATTTGTTCATTTGGAACGGCCCGTTCTAATTTCAGAACGGCCCGTTCTGTTTTTATTATTGATGTGTCATTTTTGAATTCGGAGCGGGCCATTCTGATGTTGGAACGGGCCGTTCCGTTACATTTGTCATGTGTTTTTTTGTCATCTGGAACGACCCGTTCTAGTCTAATATTTATGTGTTATTTGTTCATTTGGAACGGCCCGTTCTAATTTCAGAACGGCCCGTTCTGTTTTTATTATTGATGTGTCATTTTTGAATTCGGAGCGGGCCATTCTGATGTTGGAACGGGCCGTTCCGTTACATTTGTCATGTGTTTTTTTGTCATCTGGAACGACCCGTTCTAGTCTAATATTTATGTGTTATTTGTTCATTTGGAACGGCCCGTTCTAATTTCAGAACGGCCCGTTCTGTTTTTATTATTGATGTGTCATTTTTGAATTCGGAGCGGGCCATTCTGATGTTGGAACGGGCCGTTCCGTTACATTTGTCATGTGTTTTTTTGTCATCTGGAACGACCCGTTCTAGTCTAATATTTATGTGTTATTTGTTCATTTGGAACGGCCCGTTCTAATTTCAGAACGGCCCGTTCTGTTTTTATTATTGATGTGTCATTTTTGAATTCGGAGCGGGCCATTCTGATGTTGGAACGGGCCGTTCCGTTACATTTGTCATGTGTTTTTTTGTCATCTGGAACGACCCGTTCTAGTCTAATATTTATGTGTTATTTGTTCATTTGGAACGGCCCGTTCTAATTTCAGAACGGCCCGTTCTGTTTTTATTATTGATGTGTCATTTTTGAATTCGGAGCGGGCCATTCTGATGTTGGAACGGGCCGTTCCGTTACATTTGTCATGTGTTTTTTTGTCATCTGGAACGACCCGTTCTAGTCTAATATTTATGTGTTATTTGTTCATTTGGAACGGCCCGTTCTAATTTCAGAACGGCCCGTTCTGTTTTTATTATTGATGTGTCATTTTTGAATTCGGAGCGGGCCATTCTGATGTTGGAACGGGCCGTTCCGTTACATTTGTCATGTGTTTTTTTGTCATCTGGAACGACCCGTTCTAGTCTAATATTTATGTGTTATTTGTTCATTTGGAACGGCCCGTTCTAATTTCAGAACGGCCCGTTCTGTTTTTATTATTGATGTGTCATTTTTGAATTCGGAGCGGGCCATTCTGATGTTGGAACGGGCCGTTCCGTTACATTTGTCATGTGTTTTTTTGTCATCTGGAACGACCCGTTCTAGTCTAATATTTATGTGTTATTTGTTCATTTGGAACGGCCCGTTCTAATTTCAGAACGGCCCGTTCTGTTTTTATTATTGATGTGTCATTTTTGAATTCGGAGCGGGCCATTCTGATGTTGGAACGGGCCGTTCCGTTACATTTGTCATGTGTTTTTTTGTCATCTGGAACGACCCGTTCTAGTCTAATATTTATGTGTTATTTGTTCATTTGGAACGGCCCGTTCTAATTTCAGAACGGCCCGTTCTGTTTTTATTATTGATGTGTCATTTTTGAATTCGGAGCGGGCCATTCTGATGTTGGAACGGGCCGTTCCGTTACATTTGTCATGTGTTTTTTTGTCATCTGGAACGACCCGTTCTAGTCTAATATTTATGTGTTATTTGTTCATTTGGAACGGCCCGTTCTAATTTCAGAACGGCCCGTTCTGTTTTTATTATTGATGTGTCATTTTTGAATTCGGAGCGGGCCATTCTGATGTTGGAACGGGCCGTTCCGTTACATTTGTCATGTGTTTTTTTGTCATCTGGAACGACCCGTTCTAGTCTAATATTTATGTGTTATTTGTTCATTTGGAACGGCCCGTTCTAATTTCAGAACGGCCCGTTCTGTTTTTATTATTGATGTGTCATTTTTGAATTCGGAGCGGGCCATTCTGATGTTGGAACGGGCCGTTCCGTTACATTTGTCATGTGTTTTTTTGTCATCTGGAACGACCCGTTCTAGTCTAATATTTATGTGTTATTTGTTCATTTGGAACGGCCCGTTCTAATTTCAGAACGGCCCGTTCTGTTTTTATTATTGATGTGTCATTTTTGAATTCGGAACGGGCCATTCTGATGTTGGAACGGGCCGTTCCGTTACATTTGTCATGTGTTTTTTTGTCATCTGGAACGACCCGTTCTAGTCTAATATTTATGTGTTATTTGTTCATTTGGAACGGCCCGTTCTAATTTCAGAACGGCCCTTTCCGAGTGTCAGTAGCAGCTGCGTCTGTTGTCACGTGTTTTTTTTTTGGGTAATTTTAAAAAAAAATCAATAAAAAAATCAAAAGTTTAGATCCAGTGTGGTAAGGTGTATTATGGTCTAGTAGTTTAGATGCATCTGAGGTGAAAACTGATGATGCACCCATGTACCACTTGTGAAAGTGGTAATTCACCTATTTTTCCGCTTTATTTTCTTTACTCCTTATTTCACATTTCATATTTCATACACCACCCAAAAACAGTGTAGGAGTTGGACTGAGGTTTCTGCGAATTTTTTATTAGGAGGAGCCACAAGCGGAGAGAGAAGAGAAGGTTTCGTCCAATTTTTGATTAGTCTTCTCAGCTTTTCGGGCTCCTAAGACAACGTTTAGCTCTAAAATGGGAGGTATTTCAAAATTGTTATGGATTTTAGATTTTATGCTCTGTTCAATTTGCTTTCACCCTCGCTTTTTTACGTTCCGAGTTTTTGTAGGGACACAAGCGGAGAGAGAAGAGAAGGTGTCTTTGGAACTCAGCGAAGAAATTCTTCAGAGTATGGAAGTAGGAATGGCCTTCAAAGACTATGTGAGCATTTCCATCATTTCATTTTTCTGTTCTTTTTTGACATTAGGGCAAAATTTCCAATGTTTGGGGGCAACAGGGATTCAGCAACCTTAAAATTCTTTTTCACGGCATCTTTTTTTTTTTTATTTTTTTTTATTTTAAATTTTTAATTTTTGTGTGCATATTTTTCCAGAATGGTAGAATTAGCTCGTTGGACTTTCACAGGGCATCCAGTTATCTAGTGACTGCTAGTGATGATGAATCCATTCGTCTGTATGAGGTTACCGGTGGAACGTAAGCTCCTATTGTATTTATTGCTTTAATTATGTGGACAATTTAATGAATACCATCTTTTTTATCCTCAAGTCTGTTGAAATTGTTGCGTTCTTGTGATTGTGCTTTGCTTTTTTTTTTTTTTTCTCCCTTTTATTTCAGCAAAATGGGTGACCCTCTAGTATGATTTATAGTGTGTTTAGAAACACATTATAGAGAAAAACGTAAAAGCTAGAACTAGTGGTATTCATTTTGAAGTGAAAAACCACGTTGCTGATCGTTTCCAAATATGCACTTAATAGAGTGCATCAAGATTTGATTTGATGTGGCAAAATCTGGTAACAGATTGGGTTTATTAACATTTATAAATGACCCAGATGGTACTTGACAACTATTGAAAGATAATTAGAGTACTTCTATTTTTTGTTACTTTTAGCTGTTAATATCATTACATGAGGAGTTAGTTGTTCCTCCCTCTATATGTATATATATAGCCCTTTTCTTCATCATTGAACAGAAGATTTCTTTTTCACAAAATCATCAATATGGTATCAGAGCTATAAAATTCGATGGGTGACCTAACTGATAATGACCATAGTAGTCAATAGCGGCCGGAGCGGCCGCTATCGCGGCGCTCCGGAGCGGAGCGGCCTCACCCCGCAATCTGGCTGCTGGAGCGGAGCGGATTTGTGTAGCGGCTGGAGCGGCCGCGTCGGAGGAGGAGCGGAGCGGCCCAAATCGCGGAATCGCGGCGCGATTTCAGACTTACCCTTCATTAAGGGTAAGTCGGTCTTTTCAATGGGGTTTTTTTGCCCTAATCCTCCACTTCCCTCTCGCGATTTCAGACTCATCCAAACCAAACCCCTCCTTTCGTCTCTCCCTTTCTTCTTCTCTGGCTATCGTGCGTGCAGCGTGCAGCTCCGACGAACTCCGGCTCCGACGCACCTCCATCGCCGACGCGCCTCCAGCTCCGACGCACCTCGGACTCCGACGCGCCTCCAGGTCCGACGCAGCTCCGACGTGGCCGCAAGCCCCGACGCGCGTTTGTCTTCTATTCTCCTTCTATTCTCCTTCGAGGATGCCTTTTATGCAACATGCAACATATTTTTTTTTTAATTATTTATTAAATTATTTCAACTGATTTTTTTTTAATTTCTGATTTAATTTAATTGAACAAATTTTATTTTTAAATTCTGATTAAATTTAATTCAACAAATTTTATTTTTAAATTCTGATTAAATTTAATTCAGCAAATTTAATTTTTAATTTCTAATTAAATTTAATTCAGAAAAATTTATTTTTAATTTCTGATTAAATTTAATTCAGAAAATTTTATTTTTAATTTCTGATTAAATTTAATTCAGCAAATTTTATTTTTAATTTCTGATTAAATTTAATTCAGAAAATTTTATTTTTAATTTCAGAAAATTCTATTTCTATTTCAGCAGCATATTTTTTTAAATTTCTGATTCTATATATATATATATTATTAATTATTTTTGTTTTTTTAGCTTTTATATATATATTATTAATTATTTAATATATATAAATTAATATTTAAATAGCGGTTATCCCGCTCCGCGTCATCCCGCTATCCCAGTTTTAGGGTCGGCCGCTCCGCGCCGCTATCCGGGATTGACTACTATGATAATGACACAAATCAAGAATGAAACAAGGATGGGGAATAACAAATGTGATTGGTAGCCCATGTGTCAATTATCCAAGAGGAGGTAAGATACTTTGTACCTGGTGGTGAATGGTTCATGCATGCTAGAGGTAGTGATGTGGTTTACATTACTATTACTTATACCTATCGCAAAATCATCAGTTTTGTTCAGCAATTGGACCAGTTTCTGGTACATTTCAGGGGTGAGGCTCATTGTGTTGGTTGTGGCTGCAGAAGTTGTTGTTGCATTTGGTGTGTTAGAACTTAGATGTATCAGATTCTACAGAATTGGTTTGATTTGCGAATTTCCTTGTTCTTGAATTTGAAATTTGTTGGAAACCTGTGCTTAAAGTAGCATGTCTCCTTGGTGTGCCTTGGCTTACCACAAAAGGTACACATCTCGATGGAAGATGTGTTGTTGAAGCCTTTTCCCTATGTTTGTGGCTTGCCTCTCCCTTTGTTAGGCCACTAATTTGGTGGTTTCCTGCTTGTATTGGAGTTGTTGAACATTAGAATCTGGAGTTATCATCAAGAACGTTTGTGTTAAGTCTTTTCTTGTTGGAGCACTTGGGAAAAGGCATTATCTATGTCAAGTAAGGGATCCTACATTAATATCTGGCTTCAAATAGTTTCGAAGTTATCATTCTGACCTTCTAGGAAATAGATAACATGCTCTATTTCTCATTGTTTATGCACAGTTTCCATGAGATCACAACTACATTTGGCATTGCAATGGCAAGTTGGAAGAATGCTGAGAGCCTCAAGAAACTCCAAGAGAGTGGTCAATTCTGAGAAATACGAATTAAGATTTCAATCTCCTTGTGGGATGGAGTTAATTTCTTGCAACAGATCTGACATCTAGAAATGTTTCCCTTTCGAATACTGCTTTTGGTGATGATTCCAAAGAACAGTGGCATTCTCGATGTGGTTGGTGCTTTTTGCAGTTTTCGGTGATAGAGCATGTGAAATCCTTGAAAGAACCATCACATTACATCTTTCCCAAGCATTGAATAAAGTATCGTTGAGAGCTAGAGTTTTGATCCCACCATTGATGAATTTGACTTTGTTCTTTGTGGTTAATGTGTCGCGCATGCTTTTGCTCCACGACGCATAATTTGTTCCGTCCATACTTGAAGAGACCAAAATAGCACCCGGGTTTGCACCGGGATGCAATTAATACTGGTTATTGACTTGAAGAGGTGGATCTTGTGTAGCATTAATACTCGATTTAGTGGTATTATTTGTTGAATCTGCCATAGGTGAGGTTCAACAGAAGATTGAAAAACGAAGAAGAAAGGGGAACACAGAGTCTTTGTTACTCTTGATACCATATTGATGATTTTGTGAAAAAGAAATCTTTTACTCAATGATGAAGAAAAGGGATATTGGGTTCTAAACCTATCTCAACGCCTTTGGTAAAAGGCAACAAGTTAACTGCAACTGAAAACAGATTCATCGCAATATCAGAGACTCGTGGGAAAGTTGTTGTATCTAACTACAAGACTTGACATGAGCTATATTGTTCAACAGCTCAGTTAGTACATGGCAAGTTGGCAACCCCAACCACAAAACGTTGGCAAGCCACGATGTGTGTCCTTTGTTATATTAAAGAGGCCCAGACCAAGGAATCATTCTATCTGCAACATGTGCCTTACAATTGAAAGCTTTTAGTGACTTCAACTAGGCCACGTGTGCAGATACTCGACGCTCTGTCATGGGCTTCATCTTGTTCATTGGTGACTCTCCTATATTGTGATGTTCCTAGAAACAAACCACAGTTTCCTGGTCCAGCTCGGAAGCAGAATACCGTGCGTTAGCATCAACAGTATGCAAACTAAAATGGATTACATATTTACTTCACCCTTGGTGTTCAAATCTCTCTCTCTCTTTTTTTTTTTTTTTTTAGTGATAGTCAATCAGCATGCCACGTTGCTGCTAATCCTACTTTTCATGAAAGAACAAAGCATTTGGAAATCAATTGCCACGTTTGCGAAAAGCTTCAAACAGAATTGTTCAAGCTTCAGCCAATAATACCAAGCTCTACCCAATTGGCCGATATTTTAACCAAGCCTTTGGGTACAACTCCACTCACATTAGACCTCTCCAATTTGGGAGTGTATGGTATACACTCTCTAGCTTGTGGGGGGTATCGAAAGATAAATAGAGTATTTCTATTTTTGTTATTTTTAGCTGTTAATACCATTACATAGGGAGTTAGTTGTTCCTCCCTTTCTCTGTATATATGGCCCTTTTCTTCAGCATTGAATAGAAGATTACTTTTTCACAAAATCATCGATAAACAACCACAAAATCTTCCATCATTTGCAACTAAATAGGTACATGGATTGTGGAGTAAATAAATCATGATAGAAATTTATCATATTATTCTTTTAAATTTCTTGCAATAGTTTCGTTTTTGTAACTGATTTACATTTATGCATCAACATGAAATTTTGAGATTTCTTGGTTGCCACCAGTTGTTTGAAGACAATTAATAGCAAGAAATATGGGGTTGACCTGGTTTGCTTCACATCTCATCCTACAACTGTCATCTACTCTTCAAAAAATGGTTGGGATGGTATGTTTCTTACTTATTTTCATCTTCAGTGATCTTTGTATAGTCAGTAAATTTTTTTATACTCAATATAAAAATGTTTAATAAATCCAGAATCTTTGCGGCTTCTATCATTGCATGATAACAAGTATTTGAGATATTTCAAAGGTCACCATGACAGGTTTGGTATCTGGCATTCATACATGTAAATCACATATCATATGATACAGTACTTGTGTTATTCCTTTTGGTAGTTAAAAAGATAGTGTTTTTTTTTTATTATTTACCTAGGGTTGTGTCACTAAGCTTGTGCTCTCGGAAAGACTGCTTTATATCTGGATCTCTAGATCGAACTGTTTTACTGTGGGATCAGAGGGCTGAGAAGTGCCAGGTAGTTGCATGTGCATGCAATTACTTGTTTATTTGATATCCTTTTGTTATTTTCTATCTTATAACTTTTTTAGGGGCTTGTTACTTTAAAATTAAATAGGGTCTTTTACGAGTACAAGGAAGGCCTGCTATATCATATGATGATCAAGGGCTTGTCTTTGCAATTGCCTTTGGAGGATACATAAGAATGTTTGATTCTCGCAAGTATGAAAAGGTTTGCTAATTCAACATGAGAAAATGTATAAAACTTGGCTTTTGTTGTCTATTAATTGTAACAGATACTAATAATCTAAATATTATGGTAAATTCACTCGCTACAGGGTCCCTTTGAGATATTTTCTGTTGGGGGAGATATTTCTGATGCAAATGTTGTGAAATTTAGTAATGATGGGAGACTCATGCTTTTAACTACGGCAGATGGGCATATTCATGTGCTTGACTCATTTCGTGGCACGCTTGTTAGTATCTTTTCTATTTAACCCAGTCCACTTTTACTTCTTTCACTTATTTATATGTGCTTTGAAAGGCTTTCTGTGTGACTGTTCTCTCGTATTATGTTTCCATAGTTATCCACATATAATGTCACACCTGTCTCATGCAATTCCACATTAGAAGCTTCTTTCAGCCCCGAGGGAATGTTTGTAATATCTGGTAAGCATTTTCAGTTCACTCAAAATTTCAGATCATTATTCATTTGGTAAACTCTTTGTTTGCACATTAATTTTGGCACATTGAACTTTTGTTACCCTGTTATTACTTGCCTGAAAATTGTGTTTTGGAAGAAAGCTTTCAAATGAATGATTATTTTTAAAGATGCATGCATCATGCTTTGTTTTTCTTTCCCTTGTATTTTCAGTCCTCTCTCCTATTTATGTGATCCTGTTGTTGCTTCTTACTGCCTCAGCTGGTTTGTTATCCTAAACTTATAGTTATACACTCGGATTCTTTGGCAGGTTCTGGGGATGGCAGCATCTATGCATGGAGTGTTCGAAGTGGCAAAGAAGTATGATAAGCTATATTCTTTCTTTTCTGCATTTCATAACTATTTTCTTTATATATTTCTGTTTGGAATCGTAATATAAAAAGTGTTAATATAGTTATTCTGCAGTCAGGATGATATGTTTTCAACTATATAAGCATGTTTTTCCTTTTTATTTCTCACCAAGAAATTTTCTAGAATTTCCTATCCTTTGATCGTGAAGCTTGTAGTTTCTTTCTTAATTGCAATGCAAACTGTTAATAATTGACGAAACGAAACTAGTCTTGACTTAAAATTAAGAAGAAAGCACTCATTATCCGTTGTTATAGCAACTTTTAATATAATATTTATTACCTGTAAATTACTATGTTTTTGTTAGTCCCAAGTCAGGTCAACAAACTTTAAGGGAAAATGTTATAGAAGGGGAAAAGGGTCAAACTGATAGTCGACTGGGTCAATTTGTAACTGTGGTGTGGGGAAGCTAAGTTAGTTAAATCAGTTAGTCTGATATAGATCCTATAAATAAGCCCTCTATTGTTTTGAGGAGGCAGTTTTTGTATAATCTTTCTAAGTGGACTTTTCCAGTGTGAATAGGAGAGTGCTCCTTTTTCGGGGTATTACTTGTATACCTTGGTTCTTGGTTTGTTATCAGTTTTCTTAATAAAGAGAGGAAATTCAGAATCCTTTTGTGTCTGTGCAATTGTTCTTTGTTAGGCTTTATCATTTTTTGCTCTAAAAGAGGATCCTAACAGTTTTCTTTTTCTTTCATGTTTACCTACAGTATACATTGAGGCATCACATTTGATGCGATAGGAGCCAGTTATAATTGTTAATGATTCTTTTGGATTTGTCTATTTTTTTCTTCTTCTGAATCTGTTTTTATTACTGAGAAATAACAGAAAATATACTATTCTGAAGCTTGTGAAGTTGTGTGAAATTTTAATTTTTTGTCTGTACTGAAGCATTATTTTTGCAACCTAACCAATTTAAATGGATGTGTATGCCTGAAAAGAAAATTTATAGCATTTAGTTTGGCTTCAAAATCTACTTTGGGTAACAGCTTAGTATAATTTTCCCTTTGTAGAACTTGAATATGAATAATTTCTTATTATTGAATCTGAATAGGTACAATAAAATAAATAGGCATAAAACATAATCAATCCCTAAAGTTTAGGGATTTAGATAAAACTGACTAAGAAAACTAAATTAGAAAATAGGAGAAGATAAACTAGTATATCTAAACTATATCTTATAGAATTATCTTAACACTCCCCCTCAAGCTGGAGCATAGATATCATATGCATCTAGCTTGTTACATATATATGTTATCCTAGGACCTCGTAAAGATTTAGTAAAGATATCTGCAAGTTGATCCTTGGAGCAAACTGAGGTGGTCTTGATGATACCGGAGAGGATCTTTTCTCTGATGAAATGG